TCCCGCCCCCTTGACCTGTCCGTCCTCCCTGGACTGACCTATCCCCTTCCTAACTCCCTACCTACACTCACCTTTCCTGGCCCCATCCCCGCCTCTTCGACCTGTTTGTTTCTTCTCCACCTATCCTCTCCTCTATCCCTCTTCTATCCGCCTCCCACTCTCTCCCTATTTATTTCAAAACCCCCTTCCCCTCCCCCTTTTCTGATGAAGGGTCTAGGCCCGAAACGTCAGCCTCTCTGCTCCTATGATGCTGCTTGGCCTGCTGTGTTCATCCAGCCCTGCACCTTGTTGTCTCGGATTCTCCAGCATCTGCAGTTCCTACTATCTCTGATTCATCTTCATTCCTGACTCTAAAACGTGGACCTATTCTGATTCAAACCCCAATAATGTCGCACATAATTAGCTTGTGTTAAACCAGGACTGGAGGTCTGCAGAGGAGTGAGTTGAGTAAACATTCTTTTTGCTTAACAACGTCAGCAAAATTTATCGGTTTCCAAGCGAGCTGAATGGAGGGAACTTCCGGCAGTGTTCACATTTGTAACAGAAACTCACATTGAAGTGTCATATGTTCCTGAGTTGTGTCATGAAATATTGACAGAGTGGACGCATGAAGGTTGTTTTCGCCTGTGGGTAAGTCTACCAACAGACGAAATAATATCCGCATAAAAAGTCAGGCATTTATGATCGTGATGAGGAGCCATTTCTTCTCCGAGAGGGAAAATAATCTGTGGAATCATTTATCACAAAGTCTTCGTGCTAAATATTTTCAAGTCTGAGTTAAACATGGAACAACTATATATCCTGGTCTTGTATCTTCTGGAGGCTGGAACAGTCACACGTGTCAGTGCTGAAACATAAGATCCTGAGAGAGCTTGGTTGGAGAATCTGTCATCCATGTGCTGATCACGTCTGTTTTCTCCACAATTATCTTCTTTGTAATCCCTGCAGTTTACACTTCTTTGTAACCTTCACAGTGGACATCTCTCTAATAACCAAACTACCCTTCCTTCTCTGTATACGTGTGTTGACGCTGCTGTCAGATTAGGTGGTGATGTCTGCTACTGCAGTCCCTCCGCCTGATTCCCTGGCGATTTTCTCCGTGCGATTGTAGTAACATCAGGCCGCCAACAGAGGGTGGCACTGTATCACTTCAAAACAAGTTGAAATGCAACGTAGAAAGTCATTGACTTTGTGAAAGCACTGACAAACAGTTCCCTTCACACAGAGAGATGAACGTTCATACTCAGAAGCACGCATACGCACACAAACGCGTGCGTCACATTTACTGCGCGAACTGATGATCGGGACTGCAAAATTTTTCAGACATACAGTGGTTCCTGCCGTACGAGGCAGCGAGTCAGAAAGAACCCACAGAGCGTAAGAAGGAAGGTGAGACTAAGCTCATCAAACAAACCTGAGATGGACTAACAGAGGGTGAGAGTGATAATCTTGAGCCTGAGAACAGAGAAACAGCAATAGACGAGCAGAATAAAGGGGAACAAAAACAAAGTTGCTGGAAAAGCTCAGCAGGTCTGGCATCATCTGTGGAGGAGAAAACAGAGTTAACGTTTTGGGTCCGGTGACCCTTGCTCAGAACAGAATAAAGGAGAATTTAGTGAAAGTCATAATACAGATAACACTGGATAAGGCTGAGGTTAGCTCCTCTAATGTAGAAAGTGGAATTTGAGGGTTTGTAATTGGAGAGGATGCAGTTATGAGTGAAATCACCGGGGTGGCGTCAGCTGTGTACCCGCAATCCCACAAGTTGGTTAAGAAGAACAATTGGAGTCAACTGGAGATTTAGTCAGTGAAAAGGAAAAAGGAGTCTTCAGGTTAAATGCGCAAGTGATTTTTGAGAATTTCTTGTCATGAATGCCAGTTAATCTTTCAGAATTCTCAATGCTCCATTTTAAGTGTAGTGACTGTACCCAGCTAGGGATGTGCCAATTCATTCACAGTCTACTGTCTTCTTCCCGCCCACATAGCATCACCGCCCACACAAGGCAGTGAGGTGGGAACGTCCAGTGATACAACAATTTTTTTTTAACGCGGGCGGGTTTATAAAATGGTTGTCTTCAAATATCCGACTGCCAAATTTCACAGAGGGCAGTGACAATGCAGCCACTCTGCACCTGGGTTCTGTGGGCAGCAATTCTACAAGGTAACTGTCGACATGTCACATTTCTTCATCAAGTCATCGGTTAAACTGACCTCAACCTGACAGTTTCTAATTAATTTATGTTTTCCCTTTCAGATATGAGTCATGGAGATTCTATCACTCAGTCACTCTCCTCAGAAGTTCGGACAGAAGGAGACGAGGTGGCTCTAAACTGTACCTATGAAACCATAGCGAGCAATTATGCATTATTCTGGTACCGTCAGCATACAGACACACAACCCGAGCGTATTCTGTGGAAAGATACTTCTGGTTTTGATGATAAAGCAAGTTTTGCCCAAGATCGTTTCGCCATGGAACTTCAGACCTCGAAGAAATTCACAAGTTTGACTGTAACTGGGCTACAGCTGTCTGACGCTGCCGTGTACTACTGCACTTTCTGGGATGACACATTGATCTTAAACAGTCTCATCGCTGTACAAAATCTTCCTTGAGCCATTGATGGGCTCTGTAGTGGAGTTTCTGTAAATTCAAGGGTGTTGCAATGTCCTGTTAGAAATTCAGACTCACACCGGGAGGAAACTAAATTAACCTCAGATCAAACCGTCACCCAATTGCTTCCTGGAGCTGCTCAGAAAATAAACTAATGACTCTGAACACTCAAACAGGCACAGAACAGAGTCATATTTGAACACGAGCTTTCAAATCTCTACTCGCAACATTTTTCTGTAGTCTGATCTGTAGACAGTGAGGTCAGACAGAACTCTACCTTTACAATATTAACACCCAAGAAACACGAGCAGTTTACTCAGGGTGGGCTTTCAGAATGGCTGATATGATTTGATTGTGTCGAAGAATGGTGCGTCAAGCCTTCCATCATCGATATCATCACATTAAATTGAGGTTGAGAGTTGGAAGAGCGCCAAGTTCCTCGGAGTGACAATACCCGACAGTCTGAACTGGACGTCCCACGTAGATACGACAACCAAGAAGGCATAACGACGCCTCTTCTTCCTCAGGTGGCTCAGGAAAGTTGGCATGTCCATAAGATCCCTCACCAACTTATACAAATGCACCATGGAAAGCATACTGTCCGTGTGCATAACACCCTGGTATGGCAGCTGCCCTCCCCAGGACGGTAAGAAACTGCAGAAGATGGTGTGCACAGCCCAGACCAACATGGAAGCCAAGCTTCCATCCATGGACTCTATTTGCATGGCTTACTGCCACGGAAAGGTTGCCAACATCATCAAAGACGCATTGCATCCCAGTAATAATCTTCTGCAACCTCTTCCATCAGGCAGAAGATACAAACGCCTCAACACACGCAGGAGCCGGTTCCAGAACAACATCTTTCTAGCCGTTATCAGACTGATGAATGAACTCTCTAACCTCAAATATCGCTGATTTTACTGACGTTGATCTCGCTTCGTGCACGTCCTATGCAATATAAGGTGTATGCCTCTGTCTAAGTTTTTTTTTGATCTATAGATCGTTGGTTTGCTATGATCTAACTGTACACTTCGTAAACAAAACTTGTCAGAGTATTTTGGTACACATGACAATAAAATAACATTAATAATAAATCTATCTGCTGGGAATACAACATAGGACCCAGCTCTTTGTGTTTGCGTGTGAATGTATGCGTGTGTTTCTGTGGGTACGTGTGCATGCATGCATGCTACGTGGATGCTTTGTGCATTTCTGAATTTCTCTGTATGTACACGACTATGTATGAATGTCCCTTACTGCCAAAGAGCAAACCAATCAGAGGGAGGACAGCAGCATACAGTACCATTCAAACTGACTGCGTCAGCAACTCTCAGACATAGGCGTTTTGCAGTTTTTGCTTCTCTCAACTGGCATGTCCAGCTAACATTCATAAATTCGCTGGCGTTTTTGTAATGTTTCCTATGTCCTTTGCTTTTCTTCTTTCACCCACCCGTCATTCTGAACAGCCCCTTCCACATCTCCCACGTGAGTTTCCCGGAGTAACAACCCACGATTCGTTAAGAGGGTGTATTTACTCAGTGTGAGTTTCTGAATCAGGAATCGTTTGTACACACGGGACAGATCTGAAAATGTAATGAGGCTGATCCTTAAAAAAGACGCAAACTTAGTTTCCTTTCAATGGTGGTTTTCACATCTGCTATTATTCAAATGCTGGAAAACTTGCTTAATTTCTTGCCTTGATCATGACAATTAACAGACCAGACATTCATCTCTACTCCTGTATTCCATAGTGTAATGAAACATACTTTGTGTTTATTATCATCAGAATGTTGTCAGCATATACACAAGTGACGTGGAGGGACCTTGTGATGTTGTTTTAGTGTCCCTTCCTTTGATGCCGCGATCACACCATGAAATCCCAAAGCTCTGGAAGTATGTGACGAAAACGTGACAGGGAAGATATGGAAACGTTATTTCCCCTGTGGGACAACCTAGGAGCATAAGGCTCCGAGAAGTAATCTCAGAATAATGAAGAAATCATTTGAGGAAAGGATGAGGAAGCATTTCTTTTCTCAGTGGGAAAGAATCTGCCATTTCAGTTACCACAGTGTCTGGATGCTGAATATATTCAAGTGAAAGATAGACGTGGTAAAACTAGGTAAATTGGGATTCTAACCTCTGGCCTTTACAAATGTCAGATGCGATTGAATTGAAATGCATAAGGTCCTGAGAGGCCTTCATTCGCTGCATCTGCAAATCACGTGATGACAATATGTGCTTTTGCCACACTGACTATCTACTCGCAGCATAGAACCGTATGCAATCTTCACAGTGGCCGAAGTTAATCCCTGTTCTTTCCCTGTGTGTGTGTATGTGGTGATGCTGGTGTGATATTGAATGCTGCTGTATGCTATTGCTTCCCTGACTGATTCTGTCGCGATTTTCACCATGCGTAAGTTTCATAGTTTGAGACCACCAACTGAGGGTGACGTTGTATCACTTTAAATAGAACTTGAATTGCAATTTAGAGAGGTCTTAAATTCAGTCCAAGCCCAGACCATTGAACAGAGAGAAGCAAATGCTTGCTCGCTCGCACGGACACGCACACGCGCGCACGCGCACACGCACACTCTGACACTGAACATCTGAGCCTGCTGGAACGGGAGACAGGAAGTGTAACAATGAGATATACATTGAATCCTGTTCTACGGGGACTCTGTGTTCTTTGAGTCCGAAAACCACCTCCAAATTTGGAGGAAGGAAAGTGAAACTGAACTCAGTGAAGACTGCTGAGGTGACCTAACCGAAGGAGAAAGTGATTATCTTGAGCCTGAGGACAGAGTACCAACATCAGAAGAGGAGAATAAACCGGAATCTGGTAAAAGTGGTATCAGAGGTACTGTTGAGATAACGTTGAGATTGCGTCCTCTGATGTGTAAAGTGAGATTGTAATTTGATAGTGGGGTGTTTGTGGAGCTGCAAGGATTGCAAATGTGTTGGGAAAATCGGGAACAGCAGGGTGGAAAATTTCGGTGCAGCCGTTAATTGGCTACGAACAAGATCTGGCGTCCATTGGCAATGTGGGACAGGAAAAAAGAAACAGAGCCTTTAGACTAAATGGTGCAGTGAATCTGGAAAATTGCTTGTCAATCTATCAGAATTCACTGTGCTCCATTTTAAGTGCAGTATCTACAACGCATTTCGGAATGTGTCAATTCACTGAGAAGCTGCTTACTTCCTCCTGCCGTCACTGTACCACTATGCCCGAAAGGCAGTGAGGTGGACACCTCCAGAGACACGTCAGCAGTTTACTGAGGGCGGATTTATAGAATGGGTTTCTTCAAATATTCCACTGCCCTGTTAAACAGAGGAAAGCGACAATGCACCTACTTGACGCTGTCATGTACAGCTGCGTTTTCTTGGACCACACAATGATGATAAGCAGTCTACCTCTGCAGAAAAGCTACCTTTGGATTATAGATTTATCTATCTAATGGGGCTTTTGCGGAGTCTCGGAAAAATATCATACGCTTTCAGGCAATTAAACACACACCGAGAGGAAACCAAATTAACCTTGCATCAAACTGTCATCCAACTGTTTTCGAGAGCTTCTGAGAAAATAAACGACAGACTCTGAGCATCCACACAGGAGGTGAACAGAATCATATGTACATGCACCCGTTCTAATTTGAACTATGAACAATTTGCTGTTCTGTAATTTGTAGCCAGTGAACTGGGACACAGCTCTCCTCTGAGTTTCATACCCTCACTTCCCACACATTACATAGAGGAGGAAGCATCCAGAGACATCACAGCAGTTTACTGAGGGCAGGGTTTTGGAATGCCTGATGACGCTTTTTGGTTGTGTTGAGGGAAGGTTGCATTAATCCTTTCATCGTCGATGTGGCCACATGAAACTCTGTCTATCTGCTTAGAACGCAACATGGTTTCCGTTGGCTTTGTGTGTGCGTGCGTGCACGCGCGCGCTTGTGTGTATATGTGTGTTTGTGTATTTTTGACGGTATGTGCCAATGAGTGTTTGTGTGTGTATCTGTGTTTGTTATGGAACAGACCAGGCCGATGAAACTATTCCAAGAATTTAGTCCAGACCTTAACTTTTTCTTATTTTAAACGTAGATATGAAGTACTGTGATCCAGATGCAATGTGACCAGTCCAACCACTCGACGTTATTCAAAGCACAATTATTTTTAGGTCCGATAGTTAAAATATAAACAAAAGAAAGAGGAATTTAAAATAGCTCAACTGTTGGAAAACTGAATTGAATAATAGACGCAGTACCTATTACTAATTAATGATTCCAATATAATAACATCCCACAAACACACTCCTTGGTTAAAAAAGCAAATTCAGACATTGATTGTTATGTGTAATTCTCCTGTCCAGGAGGAGGAAACATCAAGTGAAAATTCAGAGAGTGGAGCAGCCAAGAGCATTCACTAAAGCTTCCAGGTGTTTTGAGTCCCCAAACAGCTTCTGATGTTACTGAAGAAATAATCGCAGAAATCTGGTTCTGTGAGAGCTGGGCACACCCATTCAACTGCTTCCATTGTTCCAACTTAAAAAAAAACTGAATGGCTTACAAGTTGTTTCCTTAAGTCATCATCAAGTAGCAAGTTTTTCACCTCTGCCTTACAACCTCTCTTTAAAAAAATCCAGATTAAAATAACCTTTTAAAGTGACAGCGTCATTACATGTTACAATGTGAAGTGTATGAAGTTTCAGATGACATTCTCAGTTATCCTTCCGTGTTCTAATTTGTATTAATTTTCCTGTTCTGGTGTTTTTCGGTAGCACTGCCAACTGTCCCATAATTATCAGTCTTGCCTGCTGGTTTCACAATACTATCTGCGTGTTTCCGTGTTTGTACTTGCGACTTGTGAATGTTCAATGTAGCAGATAAATTATCAGCACTCCTCCCGTGTGTATTTTAAATCAAGCTCCTTGTCTTGGCGTTTCTCAGTATCATTGCCAACCATCTCACATTTATCGATCTCCCCATCGATTTCCCTAAGAATCTCT